ATATATATAATATTAACCAAAAGAGGGATTACATCACTTATTAATAGGGAATTATATCCCTTAATAATAAGGGATTGTTCCTCCTCGTTGCTATCGAATTGTGTTTGATTGATCATAACATTTTATATCTATTAAAACCCTTTACGAGCACTATGCCCACATCCAAACACACCCTAATAAAGATTCTAATAGATAAACTTAAGTTAAAGCCTATTATCTTTTGTCAAACTCATTGATAAGAGGAACAACATCCATTGTAATAATTAATTTTCTTCCAAAACAACATTGAATATCCATAGTATCACACTAAACTGGATGATTAACAACGAAAGGAGTTTTTTACGTAAGGACTCCTTTGTACTTCAACTTAGATTAATTTTTTGCATGAGAGGTGAGAGAAAGTGTGGTGACGCCTTTTGAGAGTCAAGCTCTTCGTTACAAGTGACTATAGTAATTCACAGTGCTTATTCAGCGAATTACTTAGCATTCACTGGGCTTATTTGATGGACATAGATGAAGTGGCTAATTTGAAACAAATTGAAAATCTTATTACTCATTCAGAATAAAAGAAATCTTGAGGGAAAAATGAAACCATCGGAGATTGATAGTGATTTTAAGCCCGTTGTTTAGATTTACTTTTGATACTTACATGGATTATTATTATTAGACCATTATAATTTAGGGGTACTTACAAAAATACCCTTAAAATTAGAAGTGTTTTGAAAAATCATATGAAAAATTTTTAGGAAGTAAAAAATACTGTGTAAAATAAAAAAGTGACATAATATCACTTTTTTTTTATAAAAATTGTCATTTTTTTACTTTTTAAAAAAAAGTGACACACACACGCTCCAAAAGTGATACAAACTCAAAAAAGTGACAAATACTTAAAAAAAGTGACAAAATATCATTCAAAACATATGCTTGTTATTCAAAATAGGGATATAAATTTTTAAAAAGTAACAAACAATAAAATGTGGAAAAAATTCAGAAAAGTGGCTGAAAAAAGTAACAAACACTCAATAAAGTTACAAGCACACAAAAAAGTGATAAAATTGTAACTTCTAAAAAAAATTGATACAATGTCACTTTTAAAAGTTTAGTGTCATTTTTTACAATCCCACTCTTATTAAAAAGTGATGTTTGTTACTAAAAAGTGATTGAAATTTTAAGAAGGCGATTGAAAAAAAGTGACTTAACACTAAAAAATATGACAAAAATTCAAAAAAAAAATGACAAATTTTAAAAAAAAAAGTGACAGATTAAAAAACAAAAGTGACAAATACTCAAAAATGACGAAATTAAAAAAAATGACAAAAATAGCCTTAGTTAACAGGCAAACATTTTTACATTTTGAAGAAAAATAATCTCTAAAATTGGGCAAAAAATAAGGAACAAACAGTCGCTTATTTCAGCAATCTGAAGTTAAATGACACTGTTGAATAAATTCTCTTCTTTTTCTTTGAAGATGGTTCATCATCAACATTTGCTTTCCTCTTCAAATCACTTTTTCTAACCATTGTAGAAATAAGAGTCAGATTTCGAAGTGAAGAAGTTAAAATCGGAACCTGAGTTTTTGATTCAAAATGATTGGAAACAGGTGAAATGTCCCCATAATCAAAATCGGAGCACAAATGCAAAGTTTAACATATTAGAAGAAAGTTTCTGTAACGACGACATTTATAATAGACTCCCTAGTGTGTTGCTTCCACCAATTTCTCTTCATTGTTCTTCTTGCCTCCAGTGAAAAACTTGTACCCTCCCAAGATAAGCAAACCCCAGCCAGATAAAGAGACAATCACGAAGTGCTCCTCCTTCCACTTGGATGGACCCATCGGGTCTTTCCAGCAATCAACCTTAGCCAACTGAAAAATAATATAATTACATCATTGCCCGGGGTGGTCGTTTGACAACAATTTGCCTAACAACTACTGTAATCATCCTGTGTGTCCGTTTGTTATTGAACCATTAGCTTGTTATTTAAAACAACAAAATTACAGGAAATTAATATTTCAAATAACAAACTGCCACATAGAATGCACGCAGGGCAACTACT